GGGGGGGGGGCGAGGAGCTTCTTCCCCCTCCAGTGCCTCAACCCTCTTTTTCTAATAAGTATAAACGGTTTGTACTGTCGTCAAATCGAATGTTAGCTAATACTGACTTACCGGATGCTCCATCCATTGCTAAACTCTCAAATTTGCCTATTTTCAGGATTCGCAGTTCGAATTCGATCAGCATTACACGCTCCCATCACAGGGTTGGCCCGGGGCGCTTTCGGATGTCGTTGGTGAGCCCACCAAAGAGTTGACTTTTGTTGAAGATGAGGATTTACCGGTACCAGGAAAGCTTCCTCCGCATGCATGCAAGTAAGGATTAGTCTACTTCTTTCATCTTTTCTACGTTTTCGTCTTTTTGAATACACTGTTGTTGAGTTTACTGTGAATTAGTCCTTATATGGCTTTAAATGTTTGAAGACTTCTTATGCTAAGCGTAGAGCTGTTCCAGTTCTTCTAGATGGAGGGATTGACGAGAACTATGAGGAACTCAGGCAGAAAACAAAAATAGGCTGTTTGGCTGAAATAATACTTTTTTCCACTCCAATCCACATACCGATTGAGAGTGGAGTTAGACAAGGTGGCCCCATATAGCCCAACTTTTTCATGGCCTATCTCAAGATTGTATTTTGGAAATTAGATTGGAGGGGCAATCTGAAAATGGATGGTGAGCAGCTAAATCATTTGCGTTTCGCGGATGACATGGTTCTTATTGCCAACAACACTCACGAAATAAACGAGATGCTACAGGAGCTCAAAGTACAAAGTAAGGGAGTGGGTCTGAAAATAATTGCATCGAAAACGAAGGTGATGCAAAATCCCAACATGCCCGTTGCAAAATTACCGTCTGGTGTGGACTAAGAAATTAATAGTTACGTCTATGTTGGACAAGAAGTGAATATGCGCCGCAAATTACACATCGAAGGGGACATGCGACACAGATAACATATCACATCGAAGGCGCAAATTTCTCATCATCGCCGACGTCCTCAAAGTGTCGAACCGGGAGGACCGTGCCCGCTTTTTTTTTTCAACACCGCGGTGCTGAAGGCAGTGAAATACGGGTGCGAAATATGGCCAGTGGCGAAAGCTAAAGAGCGAGCGCTGAATGTTATGGAGAAAGTGTTAAAGCGAAGGATGCTTGGTGTATCCCTCCGCGACCATGATGCTCCAGCACATGATCGGCCTGCTAGATTACTACCGTGCGAGATTTACTTTCTCTCGGATTTTACTTATCCGAGGAGCAGGACATGTTGCCGGCTTTGCTGACAACCGGTGGGCGATGCGCATTAGTGGATAGTATCCCGGAGAAAGTAAATGACCACTCGGGCGACCCGGATGAGATGACACAAGCGATGGGCACCGTCTGAAAGTATGCAGCCTGGAGCCAGAAGGCCTGGCACAGCTACCCTTGGCTTGCGGGAGCATCCTTGTAACATCACAAAGAAGGGTATGCCACACTGGTAGTCCGGACGATCTTGGTATTCTTGGTATAAAAAATTCGAATTCAAATCCTTTCTCAGTCTAATTAAGGACAATTTCAGATATTGCGGTCTGCATGATCCATCAGCAGTGGCAATGTGCATGGTCTGTGAGAAGTGGTTCTGTAATGGACGTGGAAACACAGCGGCAAGTCATGTTATCTTACATTTGGTCCGATCACAGCACAAAGAACTTATTTTGCACAAAGATGGTGCACTCGGTGAAACGGTCCTCGAATGCTATCAGTGCGGCTCAAAGTATGTTGTCCTTTGCTTTTTATTGTTATCACTCGGAAAAGACGGTGTGAATGGCCCAGAATTTTTGACAGATTCATTGAAATGGCTGGGTTCTGTAGATTTGCACAGATTTACACTCCTCAAAGTAACTTAGTGTACCGCAATTTCGCACTGAATATGAACATGCATAGGCGGATCCATAGGCGATGGGCTTTTCTTTTCCCCAAGCCCCCCTACCTTCCCCCGCTCCTACTGCCCTAGCGGCACAAGTGCAAGAGCTGCAAAAGCCATGGTCTAAAGCCGAAACTGAAGAAAACTCTCTTCCGCACCCCCGTCGTCCCTCCCCCTCCCAGTCGTCGCTACATCAGAAGCCCCACTCACGCCCACACCTCTCCTCCCTTCTCGCTTGTTGCTGGTAGAAGCTCCATTCGTTGCCCCCTTCTCATCCAGTATACCACCCCGGATCCCCGTCCGCACACATGACATCCATCCCAGTATTTTGAAGGTCTCCTCTCACCAAAGCTATTTACTTGGTGTTGAGCTTGCCCGGCAATCCGGACTTTTTTCCTTGCTTTTTCTAGTCAGAACTCATTTCGCTACTTACTCGAGCTTGTACCTCACTTATAACAGTTTTGCTTGAAAAACTAGACTAAAAGCCTCCCTTCATTTTTGAATTTACAGTGATGTCAAAGCCCACAGTAAGAGACGACCATTGAACTTTAAATACTGGAAATGTTCATTGTATAAGTTAAAAAATGCGCGTTTTTCAGGAACATATTTATGTTGGGATTTATTCCTGCAAAGTTGGATACAGTAGTTGTGGTGTTATGTCGAAACCCATGCGCAAATATTGCTGTTCTCAAGGATCGTTCGTGGCAGGTAAAAAAACTTTTTTTTGGAATTTCAAGAATTTTTTCATGTTTTTTTATGGTTAGTTTCGAGGTTTTTTCTCATGCATGCATTGTGCTTTTCTGTTTATCCAGACAGTGCAGTAAATACAGAAAGAAGTTTTCGTGCTCCATCTGAATCCTTATCATACGGATTCCAACACATGCGTGGCTATTTATGTCTTGATGCTATAGCTACATAAAATCTTTTATACTGACATCGTAAAGCGCTGTAAAGTTTATTTTTTGTGAATGTGCGAGCACAAAATATCCCCTGGTGTACTTTAACTGAAATAAAAGAAGGGAGGGAGAAGACAGGACTGCTTCGATTAAGAATTTGTAAGCTATGGATAAGCGGATAAATTATTTATGGTCAAAGACTTCGCATGTTTCATATGTTATAGAACGGTTATTCAGTAACAGTCTGTATTTCTAGTTTTCAGTTATTAAGGGTACATTGACGGATCCGAGGAAATGGGAGAAGGGAGGGGGGGGGGCAGCACAGGCAACAGTGCTAGAGGTGAAGAAAACGGTCTTCGGCATCGCTTGTTTCCCGTCCCCTCCCTCTCCCCGGCGCAGAAAACCGCCCTGGACTCGCCTACGTAAAAATAAGTGTTTTTTTTACATGGTTTGACCTAGACAGCTGTAGCAGAAAGGAGCATAATGCGGAAGGCAGGCGTGGTTGTATTGTAAATTGTAGATCTCATTGCTTCCACATATACTTTTATAAGTCCTCCTGTATTTTCGTAGACTTCATTTTTATTATCTGTAATCACTAGTGTTATGAATTTAAGGTGGATGACTGGAAGCCTCTTGTATTCGATCGGCAGCTGCTGCCGTGGCTAGTGAAAGTGCCAACTGAGCAAGAGATGTTGCGATGTCGTCAGATTACTGCTGCACAAGTCGGCCGACTTGAGGAACTTTGGAAGGTATTTTTGTTTTTACTTCAGTGAATTGCAAAGTTAAATTATCATAGCAATTTCATTTATTTTGATTACTGTGCTAAATAACGAATACAAATGGTACTTTTTCAGGAAAACCCGAAGGCCGTTTTTGAGGATCTTGAGAAGCCCGGGATGGACTTGGAGCCTGATGCGGTACAGCTGAAGTACGACGATGCTTATCAGTACAGACGTATTTTCGAACCTCTGGTAGCAGCAGAGGCTGATTACGATCGACGAGAAAAAGAATCGCAAACGCAGAGTGTTGGGCACGTACGCTGGGATATTGGCCTGAACAGAAAACCACAGGCATTCTTCCATTTGCCAAAATTCTCGGAAGGAAGTACGTGAATGATTTGTTTGATTATTGCATTATTTTTAGTTTATTTGCCAAATATGGGACACTACGTGAATTTGTGCGGACTACACTTGTACATCATACTCTGTAGTGGCTAGTGGAAACAGCCAGAAATGCGCTATCAGTGGTCATGTCAGTGCTGCCTTGTAGAATTGTGGCGGGAAATTTTTGCTTAATTTTCGGACACAAAATGGACTGTTTTTCACGTTGAAGTTGACATTGATCAAAATTGAAAGTTTGTTAAAAATCGTTAGCCAAAATATGAAATGAGTTTTCATGAGTTTTAGTGAAATAAAGATGAAAAAAGAGGGAAAAGATAGGAATGATAAAAAAAAAATGAAGGTAATATGTTGCAGCAATGAAACTGATGTTGGGCGATGAGCTACGTCTGAAGCATTCACAAACGGCGGGCACTGACTGGTGCTGCATCGGAAGTGTCATCAAAGTTCCGGACAGTATGTCTTTTCAGGGTTTCATTCATTTTTTGTTAGAAGCAGCTAGCTGTTAAAATCGAAAGGCGCGCTGTTAAAATCTGTAACATAAGATATATGACAGGAGGGAAAAATGCTTGTTCTAAGAGTTAGGTACAGGACATAAGGCGATCTGAGAAGTGACCTGAGAAATGAAAATGATGGTTGATTCGGGTTCTAGGCG